TGAAAATCAATTCGTTGTTATATCGAATTAAATATTGTTACTCGTAGAATATACTGGCACTGTTTGGCGGAAGAGATTTAGGACATCCTGTATAATTTAGTAATGTTGTTATGTACAACAATATTGAGTATCATTTTTATCGTTATAATTGTGCATCAATTGCGTGTCCATTTGAATATAAAGCCATAGTTTCGTGATCGCGAGAGACGACACACTTTTGTCCTTAGTTATATTTCATGATGCTCAAGTCGCATCGTTTCTCGCACGAGGTCGAAGCGAGCTGGTAATATCGCTTCGGTGCGCACGGTCCATGAGAAGATGATGTGTACGTTTTAAACTGGATCTAGATTTTATACACGTATACGCTTGCGTAAAGAAGTCTCGAGTTATACAAAGCGAAAATAAAATAGAATAAAAAGAAAAAGAAAAAAAAAAAGTAAGGAAGTGCATTGTAAAGTATATAAAATGGGCGAGAAGAAATAGTAATATTATAACGCGTACTTAACAATTTTTGTTTCATGATGTGTCGTAGCGTAATACAAACGTGCACATACGTATTAATATATATATATAGATATATTATATACACAGAATTATATATTAGATATATCAATATACATATATGTTAAGACTCGTTTCCAGCTGGTCTGATCGGGTGTTACTTTACAACAATTTAATTAATTTCGTTAACCTGGCAGCGATGCGATTGCGATTAACACATTGAAAAAGATGCGTGCAATCACATAGTTCAATTGTATAGTGTATCTACTTGTCGTTCCGATAACAGATTCGATGATCTGTAGTCCATCGGCAATGAAAGTAAAATGGAGTACTGGTTGATACTTCTGTTATTTGATTAATAGAAATTATTAATATATGATTATGACATGATCGAAAAATTGAAGGTAAATTATTATCATTTGTACATCAAACGATTATCAAGGAGATTGGCGTATAAAATCTCTTTATGTTAACTTTAATTTATCATATGTTTCATAAAGTATTGATATATGAAAAAATATAATCCTAATCAACTATTCTACCTGTTCATTCAAATATTCAACCGAAAGACACACACAAGCACTGGCACATGCGATTAAATGCGTAAGTAACGTATCAATTCACTGGTTAAGTCAATATCATTTCCTGTTTGTTATATTTTCCTTTTTTTTTTAACGTCATCAAACAGAACTTTATGATATACTTATGCATACTCGAGTAAATAGTGATACATTTACAATACAACATCATTGCCGGATTAAGTAGTGATGTGACTATCTTTTCAATAAATGTATCTAATTTAACATTACGAGTACAAAAATATTGTCTAAATCAGTTGATTTGTAGTTGTCCATATGAATTTGTTGCAATTTGTCATTTTTTAAATATCTTGTTCTTGAATATTCACTTGATATTCGTACTGATACATTATATAGCAGTAAGTAATATTACTGCTATCGTCATGACATTTACTTATCTCTTTATTTAATTAAAAGAAGTTTATATTTGGGAGCAAGATATGTTAAATTATACTGTACTATTGATAGATAGTATAATAAAAATTAACATATGTTTAATGAATGAACACATTGTATTAATCTTGAAATTCTAAACCTTGAATGACAAGATTTCTTTGACTCCTATTAGTATTTGTTCCAAAAATAATTTTTTGAGGGTATATTATACAAGTACTTTGTAAAGAAAATAGCAAATATTTATTTATATTTATTTATAAAATAAAATAACACTGAGAGATAATGTACTAATGTGAAACTAATTTTATTATATCTGATTTTATTATATCATTGACTAATAAATTATATCAAATATAAACAAAATTTTCTGTTAATGAAAATATAATTCTTTTTTTCGTTCTGTATTTAATTCTTTTTATTCTTGATGTTTTCTATGATATTTGTAATATTTTCTATGATATTTGTAAAAATATGTAACATTATACATATTTATTATATCTGTCAACTATAAACATAAATGTTAAAGCTTTCAATAGAGACCAACCTACCTGTTCTTTTTCATCTGAAAGCATTTTATTGTATTTCCTTTTCAATTTCTCATCTACACTTACACGCTGTAATGTTTCATCATTTATGTCAGTATCACTTAGTATTTTCTTCATAACGTAGTTTGCACTTATAGCTTCAGAGCCAACTATAAGATGGAAATAGCGTGCTGAAGCAGAAGATTTTAATAAGTATAATTTGTTTTTTGGTGAATTATTTGTTCCTAAAAAATTTATATTACAGAAATTTTAGCAAATATACAATATTATTTATTCTTACATACATTATTAATAATATAATATAAATATACCTTGATTTGTTATCAATTTAACACAGCTTGCAATACCAGTACTTATCTGGTTTTGTATTAATAAATTGATACTTGATTTATTCTTTATCATTTTAATTTCTTCTATTACATAACAATTACATACTGGTAATTGTTGAGTAACAGATGCTACCTAAATAAGCAACTGTTGAGTAAAATATTAAATTTTTTATTTTAAAATATCAAACTTAAGCCATTTACCAAGTTGATTATATCATAAGTTGTAATTTTTGAAGTTTCATTCTGCCAAACTCTGCTATCCCAATCCAATATTTTAAAATCGCAATTTACAACTATCCAATTTATTGCAAAAGGTCCTACATGCAGAGCCAATGTTGTTGCTGGCATCTGAAACTATTTACTTTTTTAATTAACATTATTCAATTATTAGAAATAATATAAATACGTATAGTTGTTTCTTTACTAATATTTCGTCAGATGTTATATATTTGTTCCATATATCCTTAGAAATTTTACAATTACTAATTAACTGATAAAATTTAGCTAAAGCATCGTTATTTATTTCAGTCCTTAATGATAAATCATTTAATGATTTATAAACTCCTTTCTTACGGATTGATATTATTGTTTCAGCATGTGATGTTTCTATGAATCTATATTAAAATGAACAAGTTAAATAGATTAGATATTATCATTTAATGTACTCATTTACATAATAACATTAATTATATACTTACTGAGATAACTGTTCCAAATTACTTGTATTTATTAATTCTAAAAGTTTTGAGTTTTTGGATTTTGAAAATTTTACATTATTTTCACCATTGTTTTCTGTCATTATAGAGCATGTTTTTAATGGCTGAATCCATAAATTCTATAGCAACAAATTATGGAAATTATATGATAAATTATGTTCTCATATTGATAAATGATGACTTATTTAAAAAAAGTGAAAAATTAAAAAAAGGTTAATTAAATAATATCTACCTTTTTTATTTTAAATGTATAAGTTAATTTATATAATGTTCTTAACATTATTAGTTCTTGTCTAGTTTTTGTACTGCTTTATTCACATTAATACAACTTTTAAATATATAACTTCATCTAAAAATTTGAAATTGATACATTTTATTTCCATTGCATATATTGCATATATTTCATGTATGCAATATCAGAAAAAATATTAAAATTATTGCATATTATATATTAATAATGAAATATTTTATCCAAACAAGAAATGTTATATTCCAATTTATTATATTTAAATAAATATAAACATTCTCCTTAACTCTTAGAAATCTTAAATCACAAGATAATGTCAAGATAGTTAAAATGTTTATCTATTACATATTGTGTATTATTTTAATATTTTATTTTATTTTTTAGTTTATTATAACTACATTTGTGTGTAAATATATAAATTAATGACAATGAAAAATACAATCTTTCAAATTCTATTTTACATATATTTAATGGGCAAGTTTTAAATGAACTACTGTATCGTATTGGATACACTACTCAAGTTACCAATCTCATGTTTTATGTATCTTATGGTTAACGACGAAATTCAAAATGTTTATGTTGTTTCAAATATTAAAAGTTTTAGTATTTTCGTATAATTTTTATTCGAGTAGTTTCTAAACGTAAAAGTGAATTTTATCTGGATCAAAATGCCAGGTAATTCTCTAGGACGTAGATCATCTACAAATCCTGTAAGAGTATCTTCGTTTGATAGAGAAGATAAAAGTTTATTACGAACAGAATCTAGAAAGACACAAACATTAAAACCTAGGATTTCCTCAAATGAATGTTCTCACATACCAAGGCTTCGAATGAGAGCTTCTTCATGTGATAGAATAAGTATCAAAGGATTGGCATTAAAATCAACAGGTATAAATATTTAAAATATATTTAAAATGTGTTTAAAATAAATATTCCAAGTATATTTGATTATTATTGTTTTTTATTTTATTATTTATAATTTATTACTGTTTTTTCATAGGTAAAACTTCAATTTGTCATGCGCCGACAACTCCAAAAACACCATTGACAAATTCTAGTAAACCAAGTCTTCTTACAGTAGGAAGTTCAAATAAGATTCACATAGGACTTCCCAGAGGACGTAGATCTTTATCAGCTGATAATGCTAACAGTATTGCTGTTAAGGGTTCGAGAAAAGATACAAGACCATTAACAGATAAAGCATATCAAGCTTATATGCTTAATAAAATTGATAACTTTTTGGCTATAAATCAATGTTTTTCTATGCTTAATAGCAACGGAAGTTTAAAACCTGTTACTTTAAAAATGTTTGTTGAAATCTCAGCATATTTAGTAAAAATGTTGGATATTAAACAAATTCTTACAATCACAAATTATGTGGAGGAACTGCCAAAAGTTGCAAAGAAACTCCACTATCCAGGAATTGTTAATAAATCATGGTTAAAAACTGCTAATGCTATGCATTCTTGGCCTAATGTTTTAGGCTGGTTATGTTGGCTAGTAGAAATTTGTGAAATTAAAGAATTAGCTTTTGAAAAGTATAATTTAGATAATTTACCATTTGTGGGGAATCAAATAGAAGCTAAAATTAATAAAAATGCTTTTTTCTCAATGTTAAATTTCTATAACGCATGGAATGATGAGAAACTGGATGAAGAAGCATTAATGGTTGAAAAATATTTACAAGAAATTGAAGAGCAACAAGGTGTAAATGAAGAAGACTTAAAAATTGCACATACTGAATTAGAAGAAAAATTGCTGAAATTACAAGCAGCTAAAGAAGATTCAAATAAAATAGATGAAGAAATAAAACATCTACAGGAAGTATTTTCATCTCTGCAGAATGATGAAGAAAAGCAATTGAGTGATATCAATGCAAAAGAGGAATATATAAAAACAATTAATTTTGAAACAGATCAAATAAAAGCAGAATGCAATATATTGTATGAACAAATTTGTTTACAAAACACACAGCATGATGAATTACTTTCTACCATTAAACAACAACCAATGTCCAAGATGGAGAGAGATAAAATTTTAGAAAAATGTACAGAAATTCAGAACTATATGCATCAATTTGATGAACATTTACAAGAGATACAAAAAGAACTATACACCATGGATATTAAATTAGCATCTATTAACAATAATTTAACTAAGGCAATTTTAACATATAATAAAGAGATATTTATGCACCTTAGTGGTGATATCGGTGTAAACTTAGAAGAGTTGAAGATGCCAGAAAAAGGTATATTGCAACCTAAAATTATGGAAGTACTGACTACAAAAGCTAACTTAATGAATGATTTAAAAGAATTATTGAAGTCACAAATTACTAAAAAAGAACGTTTGTTAGAATCAAATTCTAATGAACTAGAGAATCTTCAGGAGAGAATAAAAATTTTAGAAGATGAAAGTAGTGATGTTGCCAATAAAATTAAGGAAAAGAAAAACATTATGAGTAAAATTAAAACTGATGCTAAACACGAAGAAGCAAAACTAAAAGAACAAATAAAAAATCTGCAAAATGATATTAAAGAAATTCAAGATTTAATGCCAAATACTCAACAACTTGCTGCAGAGTTAAATGAAGCAATAGATAAACTGAATGCAGTTCAAAGAAGAAAAATGTATATAGAGGAATCGGCTAAACTATTTTTTAATAAGTTTTATGAAATTTTAGGTGAACATAGGAATAAACTTCACAGTATATTAATAAAATCTAATAAATAATATAGTGTATGTAATTTTTATGTAATTAATAATCTTGGTTGCAATATTTTAAATCTGATTTTTATATAATTTTATTATGAAATAATAAATATATGTATTATTACAATTGGTTATCAAATACATATATTGTCATTTATTTTATAAAACTAAGGAAGTACACAAAATTAATTTAATATATTCAAAACTTGTGTACTGACTTATATCAAGTTGTTACACTACTGTTTTATATAACTGTAAAAATAAAAATTCATATAATTAATAATTTTATCTTTGATTTAAATTTAAAAAAAATACATAAGTATTTACATGTATACAGAAGTAGAAAAGGTGTGGTAAATTATCAGGACAATATGCTTATTTCAATCATAACACGGAAACAGGAAATCTTTAAATTGTTTCGAAACGCGTACTTGTATGATTTTAATTACTTTTATATGCAAAGCGCAAGAATAAAAAAAACTGTAATTTCAAATTCGAAGTTGATATAAAGCATACAATATTTACTGAATTATATAAAAAATAATCTTAAAACTAAGGAAAATATATTAGATATTTTTCCATGTAATATTACCATAAAATGATTGTTCAAAATTATTCAAACCTACAAGATAGTGTATCTACTGTAACCGCCAGGATAAGTATGCCGGCAAATATTACAATATATTATGGTACGTTATGCGATGAGAATGAATCCATTACAATATTAGGTTAGATGAATTATGTCCATAGTAATTGAAAATCAGTTGATACGTTTAAGTACTTGTTTAATATAATTAAAAAAACACACATCTTTCTACCATTTTAGAATAATGAGCAGCAAAATAAACTCTGCCAAGAAAATTGTTGCTACTCGAAGTAACAAAAATACAGTGGAAACTAACCACCATTTGGTAACTTATAATTTGAATACTTTTATAGTTACAGGTATTCTTATTGCATAAATTTTAATTATGTAATGCATTTGCAGCCAGATACAGAAATAATTGTGAAAATTAAAGGGAGCCGTAAACGTCCATCAACCATGGTTAGCAGCATTCCAACTAGTCATAAAAGTATAGAAGAGAAAAAAAGACCTAGCAATAGTGATGATACTTATCCAAACTGGGGTAGACTTTTCAGAGAACAATATAAAACTGTTATAAAACCAACTGTGAGCTTATCAGGTTCAAAATCATCAAAACATGATGGTGAAACTAAAGAAACTAAGAAACATTTTTTGAATCATCAGAAATTGGATGTTAGTATTAATTCTTATATTCATATTCATTCAATCTGCACAAGATAATTCAAAAATCAACCTTCTTTTGCAGCACAAATTTCTAGATGAAATTCCAGTCAAACAAAGTTCTCAGAAAAGAATAGAGGAACATATAAAATCCACGCCTCATACTACAAATCCATCAAGTATATCGATACCAAGTACTGTGGAATCTGTTGTAGTTTATGACAAAGGAATACAATGTGATGGAACATGTGATTATTCTGATGACAAATTTGGGGTATTCAATCCAGTTCGTACATTACATTTTTTAATAAAGGAATTAGTACACTTAGTTAAGGATGACAAAGCTAATGAAATTCTTGCTAATATGGAGCAAGCATTAGTTAGAATACCAATGGAACCCAGTAAATTACCTATTGTGGTATGTTTATTAAAAATTAATAAATAGTGATACTGCAATTTTGTGTATTAAAATGGAATTATTTGTAGCAGGATTTAGAAGCTAAATTAGAAAGAACTAAACAAATAAGCTCTATTTATGAAACAATATGCGAGGAAAGAGACTCTTTACTACGGTATGTTTGCTATTATATTTATATATACATATATTACTATCTTTATGTACTTACATGATATATTTTTAAAGTAGACAAGTTAATGAACAACGATTGTTATTAAATAATGCTTGGGAAAGGCAATTAGATCTAGAAACGACTGAAAAAACACAAAAACAAGAATTAGAAAAGGCAGTAAAAACTATTCAAGCTAGAGATAAAACAATAACTGAATTAACAGAAAAGATGAATGGTTATGAATCTTCTCAAAAAATTGTAGCAGAATTAAAAATGAATCTCGCTGAACAAACACAACGTGCAAGACGATTGAATTCAGAGATGCAATATTTAAGACTTGAAAAAGAGAAACTTTCAGTTTTATCATCATACAAAGATTCATTATTAACTGAACACCGTAATACAATCAAGTTAGTTGAATCATTATTTAACTTCAATCTAATTTAATAACATTATAACTTCAATCTAATTTAATAACATTATAAAGTAATTACATTTACACTTTATATGTGTTTAATGTCACAGGGAGTTACAATGCGTGGCAGACCAATTAAGTAATTTAAAAGATATTCCCGAAGAAAATTTAAATCCACAAATTTTATTTGTACATGGACAACGTCTATGTTCATCACGTACTTCTACCTCTTGGCACGATATATCTGATCTTTCTTTATCTACGGTGGAGCATGATACGTCTAAACTTAAAAATGTGCAAGATTTTCTGCATGAATCAAATAAAATACCAGTGTTTTCAGAAATTCAAAACGAAAATTTAGAAAAAAAACAAGTAAAAAATATTAAGGAGTCTTCAACTAAGGATTTAGAGTTCATTAGTTTACCTGCTGGAGAATCTTCACTTACTCTTTTACCTTCGTATAAAGATTTGGGTTGCATAGAAATTAATAAATCTGGTAAATATGTTCAATATGTATGTATTATTTATATCATAGTATATTACAAATCTAATATCTTTTTTTTCAGTTGATCAAGAGAAAGATGATGCAGTAATGTTTAGTAATAAAAGAAGCGACAATTTACACAATTTTAAAGATACGAATAAAATATCATCAGAACATTTAAATTTATCCATTGAAAAGAACACTATAAAAGAATCAGCTAGAATGATGAAATCTGTAGAATCAAATAAAAAACAAAGTTTTCCTGATAATACAATGGACTGTAACATAACAGAACAATTTCAGAATATTGTCCAAGATATAAGAATGCAAAGTCGGATTCCAGTCAATGTACCAAGTCCACTGAGGAGTTATCCTCATCCTGAATGGAGCGATAGTACTTTACCTAGTATCAGTACAGCTTCAGACATGAATGATATAATTCAATAATGTTTAAATTTATATTAAATATTTTCAGAAAAAATACAACTGTATTGTCCAAGTAAATTATTTTTTATCCAAAAAATTGATTTTGAAAAATATAAAATTGATATTATTTAGTATTAAAAAAATAATATCAAAAAAAGTTGGCTTTGAATATTAATTATACGATATTGATTGGAGCTTCAAGGAGCATATAATTTGGAAGAACATGATATGTGAAAATGCAATATGTAGGAAAGTGGACATTATTGAAGAATAGTTGAAAATACAACGAATAGCTTTAATAAATAAAAAAAGATATTCACTTGTAAAAAACAATATGTGTGTTATTCTTCATATTTCCATTTTGCTTAATATAAAAAAAAAAAAAATTGCAAGGACATAATATAAATATGACATGAAAAACCAGGTGTATATATATATATATTTTTTATCACATATGTATATATACAAGTAAAGTATAATACTCATATTTTGTAAGTCTTAATAGGATTAAAAGGGAACATTTTAGTACACGTAAAACATTCATCAATTTTGCACAAAGACGTCTTTAAGTACATATACATGTTTCCCAGTAAGCGTGTATATGTGTACTCTTTCTTTACGAAAAATTCGATCTCTTTTTTTTTTTATGATTATTTTCTTTTATAGGGACCGAGAAACGTTCATTTGCTAACAACTATCGCAATACGAACACAGTCCTAACATTCGATGCGTGTAAAATAAGTTTAATGTTATCTTCGAGACGAAAAAGACTGTCTTCGTATTTGAACGACTTCGATGAAGATTGTGATAAAATGTGAAATATTAAAAATGTTTATTTATACGCGTCTAATATTACGAAGGAACTTTCTTCGATCAAATTTCAGAAACGGAATTTTATCCTATATTTTTGTTATCTTTTTTCGTTTAAAATTATGAAAAATTACAAATCTGAGATTTACAATTTGTATTCTCGCGCCATTTCCCCATTCACCTACCAGATTCAAGATACACTGAATTTGAAAACGCTGTGAGACATTTGCGCATTCGAAGAAAATGCCTTCGTATTCACGCGATATTGAAAGATTAAAGTTCCCTTGTCGGATACGTATACTTTCACGTACAGGTCAGTACGGTTGTCCTTACGACATATTCGAGATATTTTTAAAAACATAAACTATTTCTTAATGCTTTTTCAATGGTCTTCGTAATTAACCTTAGAAACAGTATTTTAAAACTCATAATACAAAAATTCTTATCCTAAGAAGAATATAATCGAAGATTGACATTAGTAACAACTCTCGAATGAAACTTGCGCGAAAAATTCAAGACACCTGATTAATATCTTGAATAATATTTTTTACAGTGAGAGGGAAGTGCATAGAATCCACCATGGTGTCGTAATTTTTGTCGACGTACATAAATACTTAGGTTCGTATATATTTCATTATTTGTCGTACGAAATTACCAATATCTCGGTAATAATCTACGATACATCACGAATCACAAATGTTTCGTTATTTTTACGTATTGATATCGTAATGACTCTGAGGTATTACGTACATTCGTAATTTAAGAAAAATCTGCATTCTTCGAACGATCATTCTCGGGAAATATATTTTCAAATCTTATTCGATATTATAAACGAAATTTTTGTTAACTCCACTTTGTAATCGATAATCCCTGTAGGAGATTATGAAATTAAGTAATCGATAGCGCCGATTGCCAATTAAACGAGCATCGCGACAATTTCTTCGAAGAGATTATAAAAAAAAAAAAAAAAAAATAATGACGAAAGAAACGAAGAACCGTTTGAATTTGGCGCTTCCCTAATTGGCTATCGGCGCTATTACCTTGAAGGTTGTCACGTGCTGTTCATGCTCGATAATCAAACGGTCGAATAGTTTCACGCTTTTAAAACTGACAGTATTTTTAAATTGTCATTTTTAAATGTTCAGTTGGTAACACGCGAGTGTTCCGATTATGTGTCGAAGTCGAATTGTGAACGAAAATACGTTTAATTAATGTAAAACCGGTTATTTGTAGTGAAATAGATTGTAATTAAAGTACCAAGTATGTACAAGAATGAATTGAGTATGAAGAAACATTAGGTAAATACACGTGGTTAAGTAATTCATGAAAGTTTCACTTTTACAGGTGCAAAATTCGTATACGAAGGAACAAACGAAGGTTATCACGCTATTTGCCAACCAGATTTCGGCCATCGATCTATTTTGATTACAATCGTCAAAAGGGTGAGTGATGAAAAAAAAGTTAATTTAACAATTAACAGCACATTGAAAACCTTCGCATATTACATGTATGTAGGTGTGTGAGCTGTTTGATGTGTTACGTGTGTATGTATATATAATAATATATAGCTATCTTAAATACATATGTACATCCCTTTCTTTTTACGAAGTTAATGAATCAATGTATGAGATTCGTATCTTGTTACCGATTGGTTCGTCGCTTTTTTTGATTTCCATTGAAAATTACAAGAATTATATACGAGAGCTGCGTATGTTAGAATGAACTAAAGCATATCGTGCAACAGATGGAGCATAACACAGTAATATCTGGACAGACCGTTTTTTTTTTCTTTTTTTTTTCTTT